TGTTTTTTTCCTCTTTGTATTTATAATAATCATTATCCATTATGTGTATATTCTCAAAAAACAATTCAATTTTTTTAAGTTAAACTAAGTATCATAAAATGTAGGTATTTCAAATTAATTAATAAATTGTATAGTTTATATGATAATTTTAAGTTCATTGATTGTAAATAAAAAAAAATGTGGTAAACTGTACAAAAATGTCTGTATTATTAAAAATATTACCATTAATGAGCAAAACAGTTTGGTAAACATATACTTACCGCACCGCAAGCGTCTTTGTGACACCGCTGATTGCACCTATGAAGACCGCAAGTTAATAATTTATCGCAAGTGTCTTGACAAGTGGGTGTTTCTTCAATACAAGGCAATTGATATTTGCTTTTGCCACAAGGACATGTCCTTTGCTTCGTCAAAGGACACGAATCACAAATGCCATCATGGCAAATAACTGCGCAAGAATGATTACCACACTGGAGTGGTTTATTACACACCTAGAAATAAAACAATTATTTTTTCTTAATAATAAAAAAAAACATCAATTGCACCTTATCACACTGCCATATGGGGGTAGCACAATCACGCAACTTCTGACTAGTTTTACACAAACATTTCTGGAGACTTTTCTTCGGACATGGTTTACAGTCCCCAGGGTGACAAACATCAGAACAACTGTGTTTCTGACAGGTCAATAACTCTCCACAAGGGCCCCCACAAGACCATTTCTTATCACTGCAGCGTCTAGTAACCGGTTGTTTTTTACCACAGTAACATGTAACACTAATTGTTACAGGGCAGGGTGGACAAGGGCCTAAATCATTGTTAATTTACTTAGTTAAAAAAAATAAAAATTAAAAAAGTTGAATTTTACCTGGATGACACAATAACAAACATTTGTGGCCACAAAGTGGCACTAAATCTTTACCACAAATCTCTCCACACGAATGTGGTACTAGAAATGGTTGGAGTCCAGGGTTTGTGGTTTTGCCACAGAAACAGTAATATTTGTCTGGTATATCGTCTAGTTGGTAATTGTGGCGACATTTGGGGCAACCCCACGTTAAAGTCACTTTCTGGACTTGAATTGGGGCTTCCTGGATTTGTTTTTGTTGAAAAATACTGTCTTTGGACCATCTTTGTATACAAGTTAGGTGGAAGACACAGTAGCAAGCGTTGCAGTTCCAAATCTGGAATAATTAATTCATTTCTAGTAACTTAAATGGAAATAACATACTGAAGAATCCCTTTTTATCCTAGAAATGCAAATTAGACATGTGGCAGTCCCTGATAGAAATGAATCGTGAAGGAAGATTTTAGTTCTCCCTAAACACTCATCTTTCCCTCCTGTTTTAGTATAATTTTTGATAATTTCGCCTAAAAAAAATGTGAAATTAAAAGTGAGAAACTTCGTTTTTTGAGCACAAACCTATTATGTTATCAGATTCTAATTCATCTTCCGAGGAAGACGATTCATAGTCTTGAACATATTTCTGCACTGCTGCTTGAAGTTTTCCATGGGCTTCTTTAAATTTCAATTCTGCAGGTGTCGGGGAATTTACCGAATTACCACTTCTGTTATGATTAACATTTTTCTTCCAAACGTTGGTTTCTTTTTTGCGAGCAGCCATTATTATTTTATTTCGTGTTTTTTCCACGTTGGAATACTAGTCCGTCAAACTAATGATGTAATACTGATGATAACCGTTGGTTTTGTACGATGGTGTCCACCTTTTGACACATGAAGGGTAACATAACCTCAAACTCAAACTTTTACACCAAAAAACCAAAAAGAAACTGGCTGAAATCAAATAAAGTTGTACGTACTTCCATTTTTAAACAAAAACACAACATTTGGAATAAGTTTTCATCCAATGTGGAAGATTTTATATAAAAAATGAGGTTAAAATCTGACAACTTGGCAAGCCAATCAACTTTTACCGTATACAGTGTGTTTGTGTAAAACACAGGTTGTCAATCAATATTGAGTAATATAAAAAGTCAGAAGTTTTTATATTACAGGTTATACAGGCTTTATAAATTATTCTGGATAACATTTTTTTTTACTTCTTTTGTCACAAATATAGACTACATCATGTCATCTCAACATAGTGTACAGTTGGTTGCAATAAAAACGGAAAATAGATTTTTTTAGATTGAAACAGGTTTTGCCCTTGTCAATTTAGTTGTCAATTTGTCATCTGTCACATTGAAATAATTTTTTCTGCAATGCCGGATATGTCGGGCAGATAATCAATTAGTTGCTTACGTGAAAACTTAATGAGTTGTGATTAACTGTCAGTTCTTACTTAACATTTTAGAATTAAGCCATGTTCAAACTATGGATAAATATAAAAATCTGACATTTTTATGCTTTTTTTGCAACCAAGTGTACACAGTGTCCTAACTAAGAGTATTTTTTAAATTTACCACACCGAACAAAAAAATGTACCTGCAAAGTCATCAAATGTACTTTAAACTTGATACTGCTGTAGTTGTGTGATGTTCCTGATGTTTTGAGTATTCTGACATTTGAAAAGTCAAAGACTACTTTATAGTGAATTTTCAGTAATGTCAAAATTATGATGTCCTATTTTTTTGTCCGTCATAGTACATGTCAACTTGACGTTCAACTTGACGTTGCCTGTCATTTAGACTGTATTGACATATCTAAAACCCATCGCTGTAGATCTATTATCTGTAGATCTATTTACAGACCTGTAGCTGTAACTCTATCAACATATCTGTATCTGTAAATCTATCTCTTGATCTAACTGCAGACCCATATCCCTAGATCTGTCTGTTGATCCATCTAAAGACCTGTCGCTGTAGATTTATATGTAAATCTAACAACAGGTTTGTATCTGTAAATCTATCTTTTGTTCTACTTACTTACTTACTTACTTACTTACTTATCTATCTCTAGATCTGTCTGTTGATATATCTAAATATCTGTTGCTGTAGATTTATCTGTAAATCTATCTACAAACATGAATCTGTAGATCTATATGTAAATCCATCTGTATCTGTAAATCTAGCTGTAGATCTATCTGCTAGACCTGTATCTGTAAATACTTATATCTGTAGATCTATCTGTAAATCTATCTATAGATTTATAGCAGCAGTCTATCTACAAACCTTATCTGTAGATCTATCTACAGACCTGTAACTGTAGATCTGTCTGTTGATATATCTAAATATCTGTTGCTGTAGATTTATCTGTAAATCTATCTACAAACATGAATCTGTAGATCTATATGTAAATCCATCTGTATCTGTAAATCTATCTGTAGATCTATCTGCTAGACCTGTATCTGTAAATACTTATATCTGTAGATCTATCTGTAAATCTATCTATAGATTTATAACTGCAGTCTATCTACAAACCTTATCTGTAGATCTATCTACAGACCTGTAACTGTAGATCTGTCTGTTGATCTATCTAAATATCTGTTGCTGTAGATTTATCTGTAAATCTACGCATGGACCTGTGTCTGTAGATCTATCCGTAAATCTATCTGTAGATCTATCTGCTAGACCTGTAACTGTAGACCTGTCTGTATCCAGCTCTATAGAATAGGCCTATAAAATTATTTTGTAAACGGGCCATTTTTATATCAGAAATCCACGCGAACGAAATCGTGGACAAATACTATTTGTTTTATAAAAGTAGACATTCAAGTATGTACAAATTATTAAAAAGCGCTCTGTATAATTTTTTATTAATAAAGAAACAACATTTACGTTTCTTCCCCAAAAAACGTTTTTTGAAAAATCAGTTATTCAATATCTCAGAAAACACAAATTTAAGCACATTTCAAAGAATTTGCTAATTGTCCGCTTCTGAGCTGACTTTGTGTTAGAGTTTTAAAAAAAAACTGCAGTAAAAAATAAAATTAAATAAATAAATCGTGGCACTTTATTAAAAAAATCACAAAACCGTTTTATTCTATTGTTTTTAAATGAAAAGAATCTCTTATTTATAATGTGTGATGCTAAAGTTGTGCTTTAATTTCATAATTTTTCTATTTATTTATTTATTTTTTTTGAATAATCGAGAAAGGCGCAGCTGGGTAGTCTATGTAGCAAGACATGTAAATATAATAAATTATAGGAAAAAATTAATAATCCAGACAGCATAATTAACGTTAAAATCTCACTCTTAATTAATTTAAGGCAATGTTTTGGCACTAAGATCTCATAGATCACTGGATACGCTCTGATTATGTTTGATTATAGAATAGATAAGAAGATTTCTATTTAGATGGTCATTAGTGAGACAGATTCAGGTAGATAGCGGATCGACGACATGCGTCACGGCGCGCGTTACGCCCCATAGATGACACATGCGGCGGCTCAACTGATCCCTTCCATTTATTTCATCTAGTACATTTATCTCGAGAAGAGGGCGAGATGCCGTGTGACTACCAAACTACAATTTTTTTTCTTATACTACGACAGTAAAACAAAAACCGAAAAAAAAACAGTGTTTCGAAAAAAAATTGTTCCAAAAGCGCTAATAGATTGACAACTTTTTACTGAAAAAAAAAACATGTTTCATTTTTTTTCTTATACTACGACAGTAAAACAAAAACCGAAAAAAAACAGTGTTTCAAAAAAAAATTGTCCCAAAGGCGCTAATAGATGACAACTTTTTAATGTTACTGAAAAAAAAAACATGTTTCATAGATAATTTCTATAAAAAATACATAAACTTGATAGTCCGGTCAAAATAAACATTTTAAATAACTAAAATTCCGACAGAGCTAAATTTTGGTGGAGATATTGAGTACACCATTAGGAATAAAGTGTCAAAAGTCCCCATCGATCCCATGTGTGCTAAAAAAGTTATTCGGGGTCAAAGGTCGAAATTTGACGTTTTTTAGATTTTTTTCGAAAACGGTAAGTTTTATCAAAAAAGTAGCCCAGACAAAAAATATAGATCTTGAAATTATCTACAAAATGGTCCTTATACTTTTTTTCTAACAATCACCATTCCTGAGATATCGCGATTCTAAAAGTTGAAGGAGTCACGTTCTACATGGTATGCACATACAGAGTGCGTCAGAACTCCCGCTTCAAAGACAAATGCCATGTAGGGTAAGGTACCACAAACATAGAAAAAATTAAAAAAAAAATCTATCTATAAAAGTTTCAAAGTTATGAGAGTTTAAATTTTGCACTTTGACTCTATTTATTTCTGTAGGGAAAATAATTTTCCAAGTTTTTTTGCTACAGGCAGAAGAAGAAACAAAAAAGCTGTGTCCTAAATTGTAACTCTGTGCAATGTTATTTGTGGCTTTTATTGGCAAAACTTTTGTACCTTTACTAGATAATTGTAAAAAAACATATACAAAATCATCAGTATTATTAAATAGACATAAAAAATAGTCAAATGTCAAAAAACAAATGTCAAATTTTTTTGACAGATAAAATTTTTTAAACATTTTTTTATGTTCCTGGTATCTTATTTTACTCGAAATTTTTCTTCTACTTCATTAAACTTATAAATATCTCGATTCCATTAGAATTAAAAAGAATTTATTTGGTAATATATACAGGTTGTTCAAAAAATCGCGCATTTCCTTGAAAGGGAGTAATTGGGTAGTCCCCAGAGTACTGAAAAAATGTTTAAAAAATTCTATCTGTCAAAAAATTTTGACATTTATTTTTTGACATTTGTCATTTTTTTATGTCTATTTAATAATACTGATGACCTTGTATTTGTTTTTTTATAATTATTTGATAAAGGTACAAAAATTTTGTCAATAAAAGCTGCAAATAATATTAAACAGAGTTACAACTTAGGATACAGCTTCTTTGTTTCCTTTTCTAATAACCTGTAGCAAAAAAACGTGGAAAATTATTTATCCTACAGAAATAAATAAGAGTCAAAGTGCAAAATTTAAACTCTCATAACTTCGAAATTTTTATAGATAGAATTTTTTTAATTTTTTTTTATGTTCCTGGTACCTTACCCTACATGGCATTTGTCTTTGGGGCGCGAGTTCTGGCGCACTCTGTATGTGCATATGATGTAGAACGTTACTCCTTCAACTTTTAAAATCGCGATATCTCAGGAATGGTGATTCTTGGAAAAAAAGTATAAAGACCATTTTGTAGATAATTTTAAGAAATATAATTTTCGTCTGAGCTACTTTTTTGATAAAACTTGCCGTTTTCGAAGAAAATCTAAAAAACGTCAAATATTGACCTTTGACCCCGAATAACTTTTTTAGCACACATGGGATCGATGGGGACTTTTGACACTTTATTTCTAATGGTATACCCAAGGTCTCCACCAAAATTTAGCTCTGTCGGAATTTTCGTTATTTGACCACTATTTTTATGACTAATTTGACCGGACTATGAAGTATTTACATAATTTATAATTACACCAGAAACACTTTTATGTGGTACACCCTGTACAAATACAGACTGTCCCAAAAAGTTTTATAGTCAGAATTACTTATGCAAAATCATAGAGCAATATTAGTTTTTCACCATTTAAAAAAAAAATAATAGCGTGTTTAAAAAAAGGTAAATCTAGCAACTAAATATTTTGGTCCACCATTTATAGAATACTCTATATGTTCAAAAATAAAAATAGATGTAAGTAAAGTCTGTTTTTTTTTAATGGAAATGCCAAACAGTCTTAACGTTGGCACCACTAGTGAATTCATTCATAATTTCAATAAAGGAAGTTGGCAGTTCCGATTTTTTTAATTAATTTGAAAACAATGTCATTAAACGTTAACACAAAAATCGTCTAAGAAAATTTAGAGATGAAACACCTAAAAAGGAACAAATTAGAAAAAGGGCCAATTTGTAATGATTTAATCATTTATCCAGCTAGAAACAAACTATTTGTAAAATTTTGTTAAAAACAAAGCGCAAACTTCCTAAATTAGGAATCCTAAAATAAATGTTATTTTTTTAGTTCCACTTAATTTAAATGATTTTTGAGCT